TCCTCAAATAGGGACTTAGTTCCCTGGTCGAGCTGGGGACGTGATGGGTTTACCGCTAGCTGTTTCCTACGTCCGTTCAGTCGTAAGCACACACGAGCGCGGACCAGTGCGTGATCGGTATCTACACACGTGTTCCAGAGGGAGCGACAATCTCCTACCGACCCACGCCAACGATAGCTTATTGCTATGTGGTCTATTTGTGTCCAGCGTTGATTTGATGATGGGGGTCGCCAGGTCAGACAGTGTCTCTCCTTGTGCTTGAAGTTAGTGCTTACAAGATACAAATGATTATCTGAACAGAACTGTAGGAGACGGTCACCGTTGTCGGTTCGCTGGCACGGAATTCCGTATGTGCCACCAACATTCTTCTCAGATTGACACAATTTCCCTACTTGAGCATTAAAGTCACCAGCTAAAACGACTATATCTGAGCGTCTAGCCTTTCGCAGCAAACTAGACAGCTTTTGGTAGAACTCATCCTTCGTTTTATCCGAACTGCAGTCAGTGGGGGCGTAGGCGGAGATTACGAAAAGGCATCGGCGAGTAGTGCAGTCCTTTCTCCTTTTCACTGATCCGTTCAGGCGGACAGCGCACATTCGGCTATCTACCGGGATCCAGTCAAGTAATGTCTTTTCTGCTCTAGTACTTAAAGCTATCCCAACACCAGCTAATCCTCGTGAGCTAGCCCGTTTGCTCATTGCCCGCTGTTTGTCGCATTATCCAATCTACTGCAATCAGTAAAATCATTGGTGGTAGTAGGCAGCCAGCTTGTCTTACTCCTGTCCTCACTTCGAAGGATTCCTTAAGTTTCCCGTTGTGGATTACTTGGCATGCAGCATTGTCGTACAGCTGTTGGATGAGATGTATAATTGTCGGTGGCGCCCCGTAGTAGCGAAGTAGTTTCCAAAGCACCTCTCGATCGACGCTGTCGAGAAAGAAACACTACAGTGGGACAAACCAAACATCTCAGAGCCGATTGCTCAACAAATATGTTAAGTACTTGCAACAATTGATTGGGGTCGTAACTATTGTCGCTAAGGATGAAAATGTCATCTAAGTACCTTGATATAATATGGTGAGTAATACTCAGGTTAGACGTGTAGAGTAGTATCAGGCAAGGATGGGCAAATCAATCGATTATCTTAAGAGGCTACATCAGTTGAGATGGATTCGTACCATTGGCTACCACTGACACACACCCTCTCTTTCTCTGGCTGGCTGGCTGGATTCAACATAGAACTTGGCACCGAAGTGCAGCACTTCGAGTTGACACGTTCCAAATAGCACACAAAGGTAGACAAGAAAATGAGTGAAGAGAATCAATAGAGTTTTGACAAGTATAAGAGTGAAACAAATGAGTAATGGTAGAAAGGAATATGAAAAATTACAGAGACTGAATACATCTGCGTAAGCCATTGACAACGATTTTGAGCCATCTCACCTATTGTCTCCAGCCATTGATTCTTAGAGTCCCGAGGGCGGGCCCCAACCCGGAAGTCTGCATCTCCCTCCCTACCTGACTCAGTTTAACTGTCAAGGATTTCATGGATTGATGAGGCCATGTTTTTGTTCGGTCACCACTTACTCTTTTCCAACCTGCACCTATATCAGCTAGTAATGCCCGTCCATCGGAGGAGGCGATGGTTAGGCACGTGCGGCACGTGACCCAGTAATCTCAATCTATGTAACTTTATAGCCTCTTCGATTGATTTTCTCTCTTTGCCCAACACTCTACGCCTAAAGTCAACATTACTTACCTTATTATACCTCCTAACGTGAGAAAGAGATCGTAGACATCTATGATCAAAGACAGTCAACCTTTTCATGTCTTCAACTCGTATTGGCCATGTTTCAGAGCCATACAGAAGGACGGAGCGAACTGCTGAGCAGTGCACACGTCCCTTGGTTGATAGTCGGATGTCACGCCTACTCCAGAGATGGCGTAAGTTAGCGAAAGCAGCCCGAGCTTTTTGGATCCGTGCTGAGATTTTGTCGCAAATCTATCCGTTGGTGCTGATACAACTTCCCAAATAGGTGAAGTAGTCAACATGTTCTATCACTTCACTCCCTATCACTAAGCTAGGAGTTGACGTAGTCCAGTCCTGTAGCAGCATCTTACATTTTACAGGGGTGACTCTCTCTCTCTAAGCTTGATCGTTTCTGAATAAAGCAAGAACAAGAGTTTTTTACAGAATAGGATGGTACCATCATTTATTTCGTTGGCCTCTCATCAGCTGCTTACAGCCTAAATAAATTATTACTAAGTTCATGTACAGAAAAGTTTTAACATACTTGCAAATTTTACATGAAGTCAGTTAACAGAAAGTTCCACAATTAGTGAACAGTGCTCAGAAAATTGCGCTTAAATAGTTCTTACACAGATAGTTCAAGTTTAAACAAAATAAATGTATGCATACAATGGTAAAGGAGTTACTTAATAAGGACGAGGGGTGAGTGAGATGCTGAGTGACTAATAAATTAGGTAACAATGTACTGAGTTCAATTCAAATCATAGAAACAAGAGACAAGCAAAATTACACTATATCAAAGTGGGGCTGTGAGGTTAAAGCCAAAAATTACACAATTAAATGAAAGAGAAAGTATGAAGACATCCAGTTACCAGGGAAAGGAAACACTGATAATATGCTTCTTTCTCAACACATAAATCGGGTTTCAAGCGTTTGATAGAAATTGCTTCGGCAAACTTGAGGAAAAGAATCGAGCTCCTTTGTCTATTGATAATTTTAAAGGATTTCGCGATTTCCATCTACCTCATGACCCGTATGGCGAGGAGATGTCTGGTAATAGCGCTATTATAACAGTTTGTTCCATTGAGAATTAGGCTTTTTGGTACATGTTCAGCGAATCGGAGGCGTGCCATTCTTTCTCTTCTAATATAACCACTCCTACAGATACACGTAAATTTGTATATACGGTTGGAGTTAACATGAGAAGGATATCTGTTTACTTTTGATTGAGCTGAAGAGAACCATGTTGTCCGATACATACACGGGAACCTACTTAGCTTCAGGATAGGCTCTGGCTAGTGACTGACTCAATCTTCTTTTGACTATTGCTGCAATATCTTCACCTTTAAAATCGAGTTGAATGAAGACCAGCTTCTTCCCCATTGAGCTTTGACATTTTCCATGTTTAAGATATCGTTTAGATTTTCTTCATTTTTAACGATCATGAAAGCGTTGTCGTCCACCTATCTCTGGTAGAGTTCGTAGGTGTCGATCATTTTCTTTAGGCTTGTGTTTTCGAGTTTCGCCGTGAAGAAATCTACAAACAATGGGCCTAGAGTGGTGATCCCATAGCTATACCATCCTTTTGGCGATATATTTCGTTGTTAAAAGAGAATTGAACATTCAGTGTAGTACATCTCAGTAGGAGTTATTTAAGACGCTCACTGGGTATACCAATGTTCATTAATTGTTTCATTCAGAGTGGGACGTGTGTGAACAGTGACGTGACATCTAATGAAATCATGGTCATGTTGGCTACGTTGACATTTTTTGATTGAGTCGATAAAGTCGAGTGAATCTCGAACTGTGTGTCAGGAGACTTGTCGTCTGATTGATTCTAGTAGGTCTGCTAACCATTGGGCTGTATGATGTTAAGGTGAATTGGTCATGTTGAGGATCAGTCGAAGAGGTGTACGTACCCTTCTTGTGTACTTTCGGGAGTCCATAAAGTCGTTGTTGTCTATTTGAACCAGATGGTTTCAGAGATTCGAACGTTTTGTTGCTGATGAAAAATTCAGTCTTTAGTTTAATGGAGGGTGTCCGTTAGCTTTTTTCCCGATCTGTTCAGTCATATTTTTCTCGTTGATCGGTTCTGTGAATTTGCATTTATCGGATAGGATAGTCAGTTGATGAATCTCTGAGGGTAACCGTATCGACCAAAGGGCGTGTGTACTGCTCGACAGTCCGCTCCGTCCTCCTTTATGGCTGTGAGACCTGGTCATTGAGAGCAGAAGACATGAAAAGATTAGCTGTCTTCGATCATAGGTGTCTGCGTTCTATCTCCCGTGTGAAGTGGTATAATAAGGTGAGCAATATTGAGGTTAGGCGTCGAGTGCTAGGTAAGGCGGGGAGATCAGTCGACGAGGCTGTGAAATTACATCGACTGAGGACATGTGTTACGTATGCCTAGTCATCGCATTCCTCGACGATGTTAGCTGATATAGGGTCAGGTTGGAAAAGAGCTAGCGGTGGTCAAACGAAAACATGGTACCAGTCAATGAAATCTACAACAGTTAATTTAAATCAGCCACGTAGGAAGGTGTGGACTTCCTGACTGGTTGGGGTCCTCGGGATAGTAAAAACCAATTGTTGGAAACAATTGGTGACATGGCTCAAAATCGTTCTCAATGGCCGGTGCAGATGCATCCATTCCTTGTGACTTTTAATTTCCAATGAAACTGTTTTGTTCTCCGTTATTACTATACCTTTGTCTCACACCTCTGTTAACTGTCTATATTATGCATTTCTCCTACTTTCTTCTGTTGCTTTGTGTGGTACAAGGAGGGAGTGTGGCGACTTGAACTGCCGCACATATGTGCAAAGTTCTATGTCGAAGACCGACCGACCGACCGACCTCAGGGTAACCGTTGTTTTTCAACAATTGTTTCGAGAATCATAAATGCTTTCTCTACTTTCTCTGTAGAGCATATTCTCCTGGGTCTATAGTACAGAGTCGTGACTAGTGATTGTTTTTAGTTATTTGAACAAAAACTATTAAGATGTAGGTGTTGTCGATTCCATGTTGGCTTTCAGTAAATATTGACCTGTGGAGGGAGGCTACACCATCTTTCAGGTGTGTTGCATGAGACGAGAGATAATATCAAGGAAATGAAACTTTCCATCATTAATTTTGTGTTTCTCATAGTAAGTAAATTCAATACTTGTACTCTGTACTTCGTTGAGTAATCCTCAAATTGTTTCTTTTCCTCCACCCACCACCCCCACCCCCCGCGTTATTTTCTTCTATTTTAGCTGATGGCATTACAATCGATGATCGTTGTTGGCAAATGTTTTTAGTTAATCAAATGGATGTGAAACAATCAAACTGTTATCTTTATCCTCATTTATATCCTTTGGTAAGATTTATATGTGTATTGTTATTCATGTATGTATGTGTGTGTGCGTGTGTGTGTGCGTATGTATGTGTGTTTGTTGTAAAGTTGAACCAAATAGTTTTGAAAAAAAATTTATTCCCTTTTGTTTTCTGTGAAAAAACAGAGATTAATTCGACAATATAGTAAGCAATAGGCACCAACGTCGAATGACCTTGAACTAGCCAATCAGATTCTTCCGTATGAATAATTGGCATTCTTCAAGTATTTATTGGTTTTTGTTTGATTGATTGGTTGGTTGGAGGATTTTATCATGAGCTGTGACCTCATTTGGAGAACTGTTGGAAAACCAATCAATCAGGGAGTACTGTCAGATAGCCAGCTGTTTCATCAGCCTAGTTTTGGACTCCACTTCAGCAGTACGCACCCACATCGTAGGTGGGGTTTGAACCCAGGACCTTCTGGGTACAAGGCGAGCTCGTAGACCATGGCATTTATTGTATACAAAAAGTATATGTACAAGACATATATGTAACAAAAACGAATTTGAATAAAGCAAGAACAACAGCGGTTTGTGCAGAATAAAATGGTACCATCACATCGTTTATTTCGTTGGCTTCTCATCAGCTGCTGCCTACAGGTCAAAGTCATTATTAAGTGTATCTACAGAAACAGTTTTAACATACTTGCACAGAGTTCATTTTTAAACAAAAATCAATCAGTCAGTATATGCATACAGTAATTATACATATATATATACATATATATACTTTATCCCGAACAATGATCACTCACAATGGAAACCTTCTGTGTTACGTAATCAGATGAAAAACAGGTGAAAACATCCAGCTACCGGGCAGGGCAAAGAAAGACTGATAACTGCTTCTTCTTTCTGAACGCATAAATCAGGTTTCAGGCGCTTGATGGAGATGACTTCAGCAAAATTGAGGAGAATTGAACTCTTTTGCGCCTATTGATAATTTTGAACGATCTTGCGATGTTCACCTGATGACTCATGTCAAGGAGATGCTTGGCGATGGTACTGTTTAAAGCATTTGTTCCCAACTGTAGACATAAGCTTTTTTTGGTACATGTTCAGAAAATCGTAGATATGCCCTTCTTCTTTATGTTCTTCCAATGTAACTGCTCCCGCAGGTACGTGTAAATTTCTATATTTATATAGTTGGAGTTAACATGAGAAGGCTATCTATCTATCGACTTTTGATTGCACCAAAGGAGAGCAAGTTATCTGAGAGACGGGAACCAACTTAGCTGCAGGATGGCCTCTGCCTAGAGACGTCCTCAAACATCTGTTGACAATTGCTGTAATATTTTCACGCTTTTCTATTCAAGTTGAATGTAGATTCACTTTTACTCCCCTGTGATTTGTCAGGTAAGCTGATGAGAAGCCAACGAAATAAACACTGATGGTATTATTATTATTATTGTTTCCTTTAATTCCTAGAGGAACATAGGGCTTCAGCCGTGCGTCTCCATTCCGTTCGGTTCTCTGCTAGAGTCTTTACCTGGCTCCAAGTCTGTCCACACGTTTTCATCTACTCTTCACATGACCTCCTCCAAGTCACCCTTGCACTGACGACCAACTCGCCACTTCCCTTTCGGGTTCCATTCGAGCAATGGCTTGTCTAGTGATGTCACTTGATGGCTTGTTTCCTCAGAGTATGGCCAGCCAATTCATCTCCATTTCTTCCTGCCTATTTGTTGCACAATCGGTTCCTGCTGTGTTGGTTCGCTCCCAGAGATCCCTGTTTCTGATCTTTTCTGGCCATCTGATCTTGAGTATTGAGCGAAGACAACTGTTAATGAAGGTCTGTAGTTTGTTTGATGTGCTCTTTATGACGCGCAAAGTCTCTGATGGTGGTACCACTTTATTCTGCACAAATCAATCTGTTGTTCTTGCTTTATTCAAATGCGCATTAAGGGGAATAAATGTATGAAATTTAATGAAAATGAATTATACAGGGTATATATATCTCTCTATCTAATATGCTACAAAAATCGGCCCCAGTTTCTCATAGAAGTATCTATGTTGATGGGCAGGCGACCTAGTAGAACAGATAAGAATAAAGTCCCTGTAACTGATCAGACAGACTTCTATACTAGGTGCATCGATGACACATTTGTCATTTGTGATTGTTTCAATGACACATCTGAAATATTAAACATGTTGAATAGTGTTCATCCTGACTGATAGAATTCAGTCTGCACTAAAGAATGAACTAGACACATCACACTAGTTACTAGTGGCCAATCAAAGTATCCACTACACTCCTACAGGAGGTCAATCGCGAGCCTGAATAGCTAGCTCAGTGGTAACGTCTTTGAATGCAGACAGCACTGGGTGACGCCCGCTCGAATCTCAGATATATGGGACATGAGTTCCTTCAAGGTGGTTGCAGATACGCCTTGCGGACTGACTGATTGGTGAGTGCCAACTAGCACGAAACGTAGGTCAGGCAGGGCTTCCTGTGGCCGATTACCTCCGACCAGCTAATACCATCAAAGGAAGGAAATCGTTGAATGAAGATGACACTTCTAGAGACCTATACAAATCATTTTTATTTACCACTTACTTGCTTTTGTATTTTATTTTTGTTTTTTGTCTTCATTAGCATGATCTTTCAAAGAATTTCGAAGGTGATATACCTTTCCCCCCGCTAGCGATACGTTGTTCATATGATCGTCTGAAAATGGATGGGGTTTATCTCCTCGATAATGGCATATATCTTATCATGTGGATTGGTCCAAATGTTTCAACCGATTGGATACATTCAGTGTTAAATGTACCGAATCCAAAACACTTTGAAAGTGAAAAGGTATATAATTATTGTGGTGACAATGTTTAATTTTTAAAAAATTTTTTTAATGTAACTGAGTTTTAGCTCTGTTGTTTCATGTATGATAAGGCTTCAGCGGCATCTCTCCACTTTATTCTTTACTTTATGCTGTCCTCTTTATAGCTGGGTCCACGATTGTCCTTCTGTCTGTCATCTCCTCCATGTCACCTTCGACTGTGCGCGTGATGATGTTATGTGACCGTCTCCTCAGTGTGTGTGCCCAATCTATCCGCATTATCTCCTATATAATTAATTGTTTACCGATTGGTTCTTGGCTAGTTTTCTCTTCTGTAGTTTTGTGTTAGTGATTCTTTCCGGCCAGCCCAGCCAGCCAGCCATTTGATCCTCATTGTGTATGCAGCCAGCGACCACACCAAACTGCTGTTGGGAATCCTTTTCATAAAGTGGTCGCCAAGTTTCTGACCCATACTAGAAGACGTGACTGACTGACTGACTGACTAACTAACTTAACAACATTTGTGTTGAAAATCTGAATGTTTTTTCCTTTATACTGAGTCAGTGCAGAGAAGATTTGCAAACTACTTTCAGATTGATGAAGGTTCTATCTTGCCTTTCCGCGATTCTGTCTGGTTTTGACACCCTCATCCATGCTCTCGCATGTAGTTAGTTGAAAAGATGGTGGCTAGATAAGTGGAGGTGACCTCTTTCAGATTTCTCTCGTTTGTTGTGATTGATGCTGGTTTTCGTTGCTGTTCCTGTTGGTTGATTGGTTGGTTGGTCACCTTGATCACCTCCTTCGTCTTCTCTATGTTCACTCGCAGTCTTGTCTTGTCTACCTGCCTATGGTCCGGGGTTCGATCCCCTGCCGGCGCACACCCGATATCTATGGTCGGCCTGTAAATTTGGGCTACCGATATCCATGCTGAAAATTCCATACTTGTACTGAAAATACGGTGTGGAATCAAGCTGTAATCGAAAAAAAATAGCTAGTTTGTTGGTTTTAAACATAAATCATCTACACGCGAAAGCCAAATTTTGTGGAGTCTTCTTATCGGTGGTCCAGAGTATTCCTACCTTCTCACTCCCTGTGCACATTCTGACGCATAATCCAGTCCAGCATAATTAAGAATATCATCAGTGATGATAGGCAGCAGGCAGACTTGTCCTACTCCTGTCTTCACCTGAAAGGCTTCATTGGGCTTTCTGTTGCAAATTATCTGATATGTAGGGTGTCAGAGTATTTAAATGTATTTAAATACTACAAAATTGGTGCATTGTAGCCACCGAGAGATATGCTACACAAAATTCTGAGATAAGGCACACCACCTCTCTCCACCGAGCCTTTGACGTGAGGTCTAATCCACAAGAGGGGGTGGAACAAAGTCAGAAGCTCCGTTCCCATTGGTTTCCTGTGACAAAAACAGGTTCTAACACCGTCATTGGATCCCTTCAGAGTCTGAAACCCATGTACACACCATAGAGGTTGGGAATAGGCTTTTTCTAGCTCTCTTCCCTAAGTAGACCTGGATGTCTGTCAGTCTGGTAGAACAGTCCTGCTGTATGAAAGCAAGTGCATAGGGATGTTCACCTGTTAGAAGTTGTGGATGTACGGCCACATCAGAGGACTTCTAGACGAAGACCGAAATCTATACACTATCGACCGTATTGACTGACTGGTTTCAACATAGAACTTTGCAAAAAAGTAAGTGCAGCAGTTTGAGTTGCCATACTTTCTCCATGTAGCTCAGAAAGGAAGGCAAAAATAGAGAAAAAGGATTTCAAAATTATAATAATAAGCAGATATGTGACGGAGAAATAGTAAAGTTTAATAGATATAGGCATGCATCGGTAGCATAGCGGTTAGGACGCTCGCCGACCATGCACATGGTCCGGGGTTCCATCCCCGGCCGACGCACTCCTTTACCTCGCTAAGCCAGAAATAATGCTGGTGAAGAGGAAAGGTCGGGCATGAGGCTAGCAACCTCATCCTGTAAAATAAACACTGCTACAGAAACTTCAAGCCACTAGCTTGAAGCCCTATGTTCCACTGGGGAACGTGAAGGAAATAAAAAATAATAAAAAAAAATAAAACTCATTAGCAGGGTTGAAATAAATCCAATCGGTACAAAAAACTCGTGAAAATTAATTTAATGCTCGCTAATGACTGGCTATAGAGGAGGACGGAGTTACTTGGAGTTCTAATTAGAAGTCGTGACCCGGTCGGGAGTGGGAACAAGTACTTCGCTGTCATTGGCTAGTATTTATGGATTGGCAGTTGTGTTAGGTCTCAGTGACTGGATTGTAATCCGGTTGTCCTGGTTTTGAATCTCGCGTGAGTACTTAACTGACGATGAGTCCGAAACTAGGTTGCTGAAATAGCGGTCCAGTACTCCAGTGCTGATTTTCAACTGGTTCTCTAACCGATATCAGTCCATGGTGAAACTTCGAGTAATTTTTTTTCCCGAAATGTTAGAGAACATGTAACTAGCTCCACGTGAGCAGTGGAATTTGTATACATACAAACAATGATGTAACCAACTGTGGTAATTTATCTGTGGTACACTGTATCAGTATTGGTCAGTATCGATAATATACATTTTATGAAATTATATCATATCCCATTAGAAATGTTTCCTACACAATAAATTGATAGAATTCAAATGGACCCATATAAAGAGTGTAACCTCAGCAACTAGATTGCTGAGGTACATGGCCACCTATGAGCGTCTATCATCAATTACTTTTGGAATAAATTTTATTTATAAGTTTCTTACTACTCAAATCTGTTATAAGTAACATAATTCAATGCTTAAAAAATACATGATGTACATTTACAGGTGTGTATATTCATATATTTTAGATTTATGATTTGAATGCATATGATAATGAAACGTCAAGTAATGTATGGTATGTAGTATGGACTATTCGTAAGACCCATTTACATTATTCTCGGGTAAGTAGAAATCTGTGTTTTTTTGTTTTCAAGAGTTTGTTTGTGTAGGGATGCGATAATTGGTTTCAAGTTTGGTTATGAACTGATATGAGATAGAGAGAATCATTCGGAAATCCAGAGCTGCTTCATCCTAATTTTGGAATCTTCAGGAGTGTGCACACCCATGACCCTTGCTTGCGATTGAATCCAATACCTTCAGGATTCCCTGGTGTACCATCCCATTGGTTTTAATGATTGGTTAAAGGACTCACTTCGTAATGTGAAGCGTGTAGGGTTCGATTACCAACGGTAGTGACATGGACGCGTGTCGGTGTCGCTGAAGAGTTCCGGAATAGGACGAAACAGTTCTGCCCTATATTTCCTGGTTTTTAATGCTCCTCTAAATGATACTGATTCGTGATCAAACTTGGAGTCTTTTTATATTGTGTATGGTAAATTTTATGATTGAAAAAAGTAAATTTATGTAATAGTTAAGCTATTTCATTTGCAGTCAGTCTTACAAAACTGTTTTATTTTTAATGAGTGCATATACAGACACTCTCATTGTATATAATATTGCATTTTGACAATAATCATCTCTGAAGGCTCTCGTTTTCTCTACTACATGACCACTCTCAGTTAAATGTGACAAAATTGAGCTACGGATTGTTTTTGTCTGTCCTTTGCCAAACCACCATGATGGGAGATGTACACTAACACTTTGCTGGCTAAGCTGTATAGAAGTACACCAAACACAACTGTCACCGCAGGTGCAGTTGAATTGATAAACGCACATAGATGTAGCAAACCTATCTAGCTTATCCATCGTTTGCGTCCCGATCATTCGTCGGCTGGAGAATGACAAACACAGGTGTGCTGCGTAAAATGTTCTTCGTATACTCCTTGAAAGTCTTTGGAATAAAAGTCTCACTTGACAAGTCACCATTAAGTTGTAACTTAGTAAATAGAGGTTTCCTACGTGCAGTCAGAGTCTCAGGTTCTTTTTCTCTGATCTTTTGATATGTGGTCATGTAGTGGAGAAAACGAGAGCCTTCAAAGTAATTCATCGTATCACACCGAATCTTCCCAATAGACTTCGTATTCGTCTACTGCACACAGCTGAGGCAGGCGATAGGCATTCGAACAACTATTAAAACTAAATAATCGTCTCTGTCAACTACACAGCCATCTTGTACTTCCTCTGTATTTTTCTCTGAATACAACCATTTGTGACCACTTGGATGCTGCGTATTTATAAACAAGAGCGAATCGGGAAAAATATGAAGTTGACAGAGGTGAATCATCTGTGAATCTGTGTGGACTTTGTAACTGCAAATTAGGCCAGTAGTCTGTCAGTCAGTATTTAAATTGTAAATATTGATTTGTCTTAGGTGAACCAACCAATCAAGTTTCATCACACTGATAGACGCCCACACATCAGTCAGATAGTCAACCAATCAGATCTCACCATATTGATAGACATTCACTAATGGGTCCGATGTTTCAGTAGATAATAAATCTGTGATACTTTTTTCTGTTAGATTGCTGGTGGCAATCGACAGTAAGCACCGGATGTAGGTTTCATGCATATCAGTATTCGTTGTCAGCAAGACGTATCTGTAATCTGCAAGGAACTCATCATGTCTTTTCCGAAATTCGAATTCCAGGTCATCTGTTGTTACCTGTAGAGTCAGAGAAGTTACCACGAAGCTACTCGGGCTCACGATGAACCTCCTGTAGGACTGTGATGGATAGTTTGAATAAACACTTTAACTATCTAACAGAAGAAAGTATCACCTGTTTATTATGCACTGATTTGGGGCCTACTAGTGGTCTCAGGTGACTTCCTGGATCCTCTGTACGCTATTAGTTTGGAATGAGGGTTTTGCAGCTCTCTTTCCCAGATAGACAAGCAGGGCCACCACCAGTCCGTTGTGTAAGCACCAGACTTTCGCATTCATCCTTTCACTTTCGTGAGGACCGCACCCTTTACACTGCGTAAAGGTAGTGAATAGGAGTTACGTGTTCCGGGTTGCTGGTTTTCGAGGAATAAGAGTTGAGTTGTACCGAAATTCAATGAATACTGTTTTACGATTATTTTATTGTGGATTGTATAACAAACCAACATCAGTTAGAGAAATATTGGAAACTAGGGAACACTGGACAACCGTTTCGCGGTAATTTAGGGCTCCTCAGCAGTGACCATCCACCACCTAAAATGGGACGAACTCCATAGACCTTAGGATCAACCTCGTTAACTGTTCAACCAAATCCCTAAAAAAATCAATAATCTAAACATCAACCTTTACCTCATTGCTGGCTACATGGTGGAATGTCTTGAAGGTTTATTGACAAGTTGTGGCCTGTGGGATCTACCATGCCAAGGTGAAGCAGTTGCTCATCTATTGAATTGATCTATGGTAACGCCATATCATGAATTACCAGAAGTTAGAACTCATTTGTCGTTGATTTCTAGCCTAAATGGCTTAACCTCTTCGCAACGTGAAGATCCGGTTGCTTTCGAATCCTGGTTATGTTTGCGGGTGTGAACTGTTGCTCCTGAGAAGTCGTCAAGTAGGATGATTTAGTTCTGTCAAGCGCTCTTCATTATTTTTTTAGTATTTTTCTAAATTAATAACATTAATTTTTCTTTCCAAATCGTCGAAAACACTCATCAGGACATTAGAGAGGAAAAGAACAAGAAGAGGAAGAAGTTCAGCAAACTAATATCTACCTTTCCGGTGATTTCATTCCTAAAACCAGCTGTACAATCGCATTTATATGCATAAGCTGCTTACATAGATACAATTATTACTTATTTAATTCCACTTAGTAACTGGGGAGATTAAAGGTGGTAATAATTTTCAACTTGATATGAAAGTTTATTGGTGTGAATATATCAGATTTAAAAGGGCTTAGAAAGAAAATTACACAGAATTAGAAAAGTTTTTTCTCTCTCACGAATACAGTTGTGAGTGGGATGAATATGGAAAAAAAACTTAAGATAATAATATTTTCAATAGTTGGTTTATAAGGATTAGATCTGTTTTTACGAGTTTGACCACGGATTGAAATCAGTTAGAGAACCATTGAAAACTAGCAGGGAGTACTGGGCAGACAGCTGTTAAGTGAGCCTAGTTTGGGTATCATCGGCATTACGCACCCGCTGCACCGGGGTTCTGACCTAGGATATTCCGGTTACAAGGCAAGCTGGCTCGTATACCATTAGCCAGCCACTGGCAGCACCTGATTCAATGGCCAGTGCATGAATTCTAACTTCTACCAATTCGTGACCAGTGAGGTCCATCCAACCAGTCAAGTGTGAGGATGGATTTTCCACCGATGACATTGGTTGGTGCCAGTCGCGCTAAACCACGAATTGGTAGAAGTTAGAATTCCTGGACTGGTCATTGAATCAGGTTCCAGTAGCTAAATGGTGGTCAACAAGCTTGCTTTGTAGCCGGAAGGTCCTGGGGTTCGCACCGCGTTGCAGTGGGTGCGTACTGCTGATGATTCCCAAACTTGGATGGAGGAAACTGCTGTCCAGTACTCCCTGCTAGTTTTCAATGGTTCTCTAACTGATATCAATCCGTGATCAACTCTTAAAAATAATAGTTTCTTCTATAATGAGTGGAATAAAAACACACAACGAAACCAAGGGATCAAACCGAACTGGATCCATAGTTAATGTAGACATTCGACTAGTTTCTTTTGTGAACGCATAACTCTGGCTTTTTGATGTGTATGTAGTGAGGATTTCTGCAGTAAAGTCGGAAATACACACAACCTTTTTGTAGATTTTTGTTTACTTTGTAAATGACTCTCTATAGTCGACGGACGCGTCGCTGGCACAGCGCTCAAGGGTTCGATCCCCTGACGACTCACACCTGATATATAAATTGTTCGGCCTGCAAGATTTGGGCTACCGATATCACCTGTTGAAAATTCAATACTTGTACCAAAAATACGGTATGGAATCAAGCTATAATAAAAAATAAATAAATAAATAAATAAATAACTGTCCGTTGATATGCTCTGATAGTTGTTGACGAGGTGTGTTCAATTATGAAGGCCTTCTGATTGAACCAGTGCATTTGTGTTTTTGTAATTATACTGGTTAGTGTTAGTGTTCAGGAACCTCGTTTTAAAAGGCTATGTGTGTGTATAGAACGACCACATGAGCATATGAACTGATGCATATATATGTATATACACATTGGAGTGGTCATATGCGGAAGTTTGTCCTTCACATTGGTTAGGCACGGTGGACGGTTAGTGAGTAACACTTTTAGAGTTACCAGAGGTGCGTCGGTGGCACAGCAGTAGAATGCTCGCCGATCACACCACACGTCGTCCGAGATTCGATCCCCGACTGACCAACGCACTCCTTTACCTCACTAAGTCAGTAGTAATACGACTGATAAAAAGGGAAGGTTTGGTATGAGGTTAGCAACCCCTTTTGCCGTAAAAATAATCACCACTGCTGTCGAAACTGCAAGCCTCTAGCTTGAAGCCCTCGCTGTGTTCCTTGTGGGGAACGTAAAGGAATAACCAAAAATAAAGAGTTACTATTGCAGGAGAGGTCTCCGCTTTCGGGGAACTGGAAATTCTCCACTTTTGGATATCTGCTGCCTATATCTTCCTTTGAATGAAGTTCAAGTTCATATACCATAGTTTTCCTTTGGTACTGAAGTGTATTGTTCTCTTTTTGGTTTTGCGTAGTGTTTTATTTTTCTTGTTTTTTTTCTATTTTGTAATTTCTAGTTATTAGTTGTACGTCCTGGAGATAAAAGTGAATTATGGTTTCGTCGTTTTATGGTCGAGGATCGTTGTAGCAGTAATTCAATCTCTTATACAGAATATTTATGTCATATACACAAAGAAGTTTCTGGTCTATTACGTTGAGATATATATGAGAGAATGAGCGCGTGCGCGAGAGAGAGCGACAATTAAACAGATATACTTTTCACATTACACAAAAGAGTGATCAAGTTCTTCTACCATTCATTACTCTACTACTTATATACTAACTAATTTGAACAGTGTGTTAACTTTGTTGTTGAGACATCTCTTCTTTTAGCTTTTCCTATTTCATTGTCCTTTTGAAATCTCCCGTCTACTGGCCTTCCTCAGCCTACTCTTCTATATCTATCTATCTATCTATCTGTCTATATTGAATGTTTGAAAAATTTCTCATAGGTGAACACTGAAGGCGCGCTCTGCCTTTAACTCCGTATTAGGGTGTGATTATTGACGACTCTGATTATCAATTATTGTGATTATTATTTGGTAGTTTTCTTGTTCTACTCTTAAAGACACACGTGTTTGTCTGTCTTCTTGTGTGTGTGTGAGTGTGTGGATGTGCGTGTCATTTCTACGGATCTTCATGAGATCATCCTCTGAGGTTTCACTGCGTTTTATCATTTCGGTTGTTTTTTTGTTGTTTGACTTCTTGGGGACTTTTTCCTAACTTCTTTTGTGGTTATTAGTTAATTAATTAATTAGTTGGTTAGTTAGTCTTTCTTACTTTGGTGTGTGTGTTGGTGACTGCCCTCCTGTCAGTGTATCCCTTCTCCTACTCTCCCACATTCTCCTGTCTGTTGGATCTCCTCGTCTTATTCTCCTACTTCTTCTTCTTCTAGTTCCCCGACGTAAGCACAACTCCTCATTCTTGCTTTGTTCATGAAAGAATCCTAATCACAATAATAATAATAATGATAATGATGTAATAATGAGCATGGTATACTACGCGTTACTACTGATAATATGCACTGAGTAGTAGTTTATCTTTTTCTCCTTTTATTTTGGTTTTCACTTTTGTTTATAAAGAAAAAAAACACAACAACAACAACAAGTGCTTTATGATTATCATTATTATTATTGAGTTAATTTTTGACAAACAAAAAAATGTTTTGTTCTCCGGTTTTGTCCTGAAGCGTATGTTTTGTCTTTTGTTCTAGTGGAGCAGCAGGGGAGGGGGAGAGAAGTGAAGAGACAACGCAGTGCAGTACAGTACATTAGATATAAGTGCTAATTGTTACAACTGAATTTTCCCTTTATGAATTTAGACAAAGCAATAAGAAGACGCAGTTTTGTCTGAATCGTGTAGTGTTGTATTTGTGAAACACATTTCGAACAATTTGATCAGACACACGGACTTGTCATAGGAATGTGTACAGAAGAAATTAATAAAGAGTTAAGAGGTGAGAAAATAGACTACCTACATCAAGTTAAAAGGCCGCCATATTGAAGATCGAAATAACAAGGAGGATCAGTCACTAAACCAAATAACAAAGGTAATAGTACATCTACCCTAGCTGCTCTCAAAACAAATTTTGCCAAGGAAGGTGGTTCATTGTGATGACAAGTTGTTGATTTGAACGCATAAAGGTGGTTTAAACTTTCTAATTGCCAGCTAGGGCTTCCACAAAAAACTTAAGGATACCCCCTCCATCAAACACGTTCTATAGATAGGTTTGAAAGATGTGTTGACGTCAATTTTATGTCCTGTTTCTATAATATGTTTCTCAAGAGAGGAACTAGGTCTTCTGTTCTCACCATTAATGGGTTCTGAAGATTCCATTTGTTTCTGGAGCCATTTACGAATATGCTCTGAAGGCCTTACTTGCAGAGATCGATGAGTCCTCCCAAAATATATGTGTCCAAACGAACATTCAAATTGGTAAATACAGTGGGATGTGACATCATTTTCCTCATCTTCGAAGGGCTTAGATAGATATATGGGCTTCACATTCTCAATTATTATGATGTTAGCTGCATAAAAAGTCTTTTTGACAGCAGCGTTCAGTCTTTGTCTAGTTATCAAGCTGCTATGATGCCCCATATAGGGTAGCTTGATGTACACGTCTTTCTTAGGGGCTAGTTGGAGAGTGGGTCTTGGTGTTCTGACCACTTTATATCTCCTGATGAACTTGTCTGGATAGTTGTTATCAACCAGAGGTTGTGTCAACTTTCTTTCTTCTTCATCAAGTGTGTCTTCAGTGAATATTCGTTATACTCTACTGAAGAGGCACCTTACTGAGGCCACACATACATATGGAGGACTCATCGATCTCTGCAAGTAGGACCTGGCTTCAGAGCATATTACTAAATGGCTTCAGAAGTGAATAGAAGCCCCTGAACCCATTAATTAATGGTGAGAACAGGAGGCCTAGCTCTTCTATTGCAAAACATATTACAGAGGATGCAGGACATAAAATTGATGTTTACACAAATCTTTTAAACCTATCTGTAAAACTTGTTCGGTGGAGAGCATATCCTAAAGTTTGTGGAAGCACTAGTTGGCAATTAGGAAGTTGAAGTCATCTTTATATGATCAAATCAACAATTCGTCATCACACTAAACCTACCTTCCTTGTCAAACTTTGTTCTGATACCAGCCAGGGTAGATGTACTATTACCTCTGTTATCTGGTTTAGTGACTGATCTTCATTGTTATTTTGACCTTCAATATGGCGGCCTTTTAACTTGACCTAGTTAGTCTATTTTCTCACCTCTTAACTCTTTATTAATTTCATATATATATACATTCCTATGACAAGTCCGTGTGTTTGATCAAATTGTTCGAAATGTGTTTCGCAAGTACAACAATACACGATTCGAACAAATTTCATCTTCTTATTGCTTTGTCTAATATAAGGATGTTGTGTGCACGTCAGTTTGTAGAGGAGAGAGGGAGTTAGGCTTGGGACTCAATCCTTCCCTGGACTCTCCTAGAGTGTATGTATATATATGTGTGTGTAGTAAGATTGCGGAACACCTACAAAGCCTCAATAAAAAGCTTAGCACAGAAAGTTCGCCAAACTGTGGTAGTCAAATATAGACAAAGCAGTTTAATAATTAGAAGTGTTGAGGGGTAAAAAAACATGACGTTCTAGCGGATATGAGAAGTTACAAAGAGTGAAAGTATCTGGGCCATTGACAATGATTTTGAATCAAATCATTAACAGTGTCAAGCCCCATTAGTTCCTAGCATTCCTCGGACTCCAACTAGGCAACCTACACCTGTATATGTGGCTCAAAGTAACTGTCAAAAACTTGTTGGACTGATACTTAACTTTGGCTTGGTCACCTCTAACGCTTTTCCTATCTATATTAGTCAACATTGTTTATCGGAGAAGTCAGTCAGTGGCTTGACATGCGTAAGTAACTGTTATAACTACACTGAACTGAATAAACCTCGTCGGCACTTTGTTATGTCTGTGCCGGTGATTGTTATAGTGATATAATGAACTAGACTGGTGCGCTAATACGCCGATTCACTGAGCCAATCAAATATCAAAAGACAAAGGCTGCTGACCTGTGACTGTATAAGATACTGTACTGCATGAGAAAGGATGATATATAATATCTTATGCGGGTTCCAATCAGTAACACATGTTCTAGCCGTATCAATCGATTCACCTTCACAATCTGACCGATTAACATACCTTCCTTAGTTAACACTGTATGCCTAACCTCAATATTACTCACCATGTGATACCGCTTAACATGGGGGGGGGTAGAACGCAAATATCTGTGGTCAAACATAGCCACGCGCTTCAGATGTTCCACTAGGAGTCAGTGCAAACTAGTCCTGCCTTATCATTTTATATTTAACAGGAGCGAATCGCTAGCATGTCAAACGTTCGAAGATTTCTGCCTAAAGTGTTCAGAAAACTCTGTGCTTTATCTAGGCTGGAAATATCATCCTTATATTATAAGTCCAGAAAACTTTTGGTCTGGTGAGAAGTCAATCCTAAAATCAGTGTTGGTATCCATTCGATTAGTAAATGCAGGCTTTAGACCAGGAACAGGGTGTGTTGATCATATCTTCACCCATCCTTCAACAGATTCTGGAACATAGGCATACTTACCATCGGCGTCGAACAATCGTTATATTTCTTGACCAGGAGGTGGCGATGTTTGGCTGTTGAGGGAATGTCGAGAAAATACATTGCACTGATCAAGGCACTCACTCTACTCGAACTCATGCAGTCAGACAGGTGAGAGCTTACGGCGAATTTTCATCTGAAGTGGTGACAACTAATGGTGTCCTTCAGGGATGCCCATTATCCCCATTTCTATTCAATTTCATCATTGATGTACTAACGGAATAATTCCTAACTGACTTCAGCAACTCAGGGATTGGTTAATTACCAGGGAATAATCTCGTTGACTTAGAATATGCGGATGATATAGTCCTAGGTGAGGACTCTGACAAAATGCAGAGTCTTCTGAACACCTTGAGCTGCGGTATACGAATGTTTGACATGCGATTCGCTCCTGCCAAATGTAAGATGATGTTATAGGACTGGACTACACTGACTCCTAGCTTAGAAATAGGGAGTGAAGTGTTAGAGCACGTTGACCGCATCACTTATTTGGGAAGTTGCATCAGCCAACACCAGTGGATTGATCGCTGACGAAATCTCAGCACAGATACAGAAGGCTAGTTTCGCATATGTCAGTTTACTCTGTCTCTGGCACAGACGTGATATCCGGCTATCGACCAAATGGCGAATGGACTGCTCATCAGTTCGGTCTGTCCTCCTTTACGGTTGTGAAACCTGGCCATTGAGAGTGGAGGACATGAAAAACTAGTCTAACTAGCTGTCTTTGATCATAGGTGCCTGCGTTCTATCTCCCGTGTGAAGTGGTATAACAGGATAAGCAATAATGAGGTTAGGCATCAGTCGAGTGTTAGGTATGGAGGGAGGGGAAATCAATAGACGAGGCTATGAAGTTATATCGACTAGGATGGTTAGGACATGTGTTACACATGCATGTCTAGCTATTGATCACCTTCCTTGGCAATGTTAGCTGACATAGGGTCAGGTTGGAAAAGAGAAAGCCAGTGGTGCTCAAACCAAGACATGGCTTCATCAGCCAATGAAATCCAAAAC